TCTTAATACGTAATTTACTGTAATTTTAAGGTATCACCCATGTACTTACATAATTTACAGCAATAATATTTTATAAAACCTACATGATTGCTAGCATCAAGTAAAATTTCATTTTGATAAAAATGCAACCTTCGATTCGACCTTAATTTAATAAAAATTTAATCAAATCAGTATGTCACTTCCATAGATCACACAGAATTTATCAATTTCAAGAAAAATTTCCCAAATTTTTTTAACCAATTCTTGAAATGTAAAATGTCAATTTAAAAAATAAAACTCCTTTAAATAGTTTCCTCGCGTAGAAATTCTTACAGTTTTGTGCACAGTTTATTAAAAAATGTACGCGTATTATGTAGCTTCCTACACACATGATATAAATGTATACATATATATATGCGTTTATACACAGTAGTTATAAAATTAATTTTCTTTATTTGACATTTTAACAAATTCGCTAAGTATACATAAGCCATAGTTCCTACAATATTTAGTTTGCAAGAGCAGAAGACATTTTCTTGTCTGGTATAGCAATAAATTTTAGAATAAATTTAAATTTGTCTTAATTGTCGGAAATATATTTTACATTTAACTATATAACCAAGAATACACAATTTAGATTGACATCAGGCAATTATTTATAGTTCACTGTCAACAGGGAGGAAAAAAAAAATACTGAATTCTAGTAGCGTAGTACTTGTATTGGGTCTTGGGCTCATTATACACACACCTGTAAATTTATACATTATGATATGTGTGCAATATATGAATGGTGAATAACATATAATATAGAATTTCGAAACAGATAACCAAAAACAACAACCGCAACTATGAACCAGGAAGGAGAAAAATGTAAAATGGTAAAAAATTTATTTCTGATATGCCTGAAACCATTTTGAACATGAAAATGACAATGTTAAAAAATATCTTTATATCATTTTTATTTAAAATATTATATATACAAGACCTACTGTCTAAATACTTCTTTTATACACTAGACGTTATGAAGATAAGGACCTCCTTTTATCTCTTGCAATAGAATGTCAAAACGAGATTAAAGTCATAGACAAAAATGAATTTAAACCAAAAACAAAAAAAAAATTTATGAGTTAAGGAATCAGGCTCATGTTTTTTTTATATACAAATTTTTTAGTAATTTTTCAATGTTAGCCATCCAGGTCCTATAATAATATAATATGAAGAACCAGATATTTGTTTAATGAATTTGATTTTTCATTTATAACACGAGTCACTTTAATTAAGTCCGGTATTTAAGTTAGAATGAGCTTGCGAGATATGGAAAAACTTTCGGGGTTTTACCTTGAAAGGAAAACCAGGGCGTGCATCTAAGCACCCACAGTTGAACGTACCAACCTCAGATGGGCGAATACAACAACATGTAATGCGACAAGGAAGTTGCGATCAAAGTTGAACTTCGCATAAGGTACGTTAAATTGGCGCACTGATAGGAACCCTAACTGGATACTGTCTAATTTGCGGCCATACCAGAAAGATGGGTCGTCCCGCAAGCGTTCTCTGTATCAGCTGCTGTGACGAGGAGTGGAAGAAGGAGGAGGGGGGGGGGGGGGGGCGGAGACGGTGACCCTCCTCGATGTAGGCCATTTTTTTGGTTTAATATTGACTCGTCCAATTGGGCGATTTCATTTAAATTCAAAATTAAATGAATTGAAAATACAATTGCCCTCCCGCTAGCCCCTCCTTTGCTACATTTCTTTTTACATACCTACATACATGGAGCAATTTTACTAATTGAACCGAAATATTTAAGCTTAATTCTTAAAAATTTACTTTCTCCAATTTTCTATTAAATATTATAGTTTAAAACATTTAAACATTTGTAATAAAATTAGGTCTTAGTATATCCCAAAGTAAATGGTACCAGTTATTTTGTAGTCTTCATTGGTTTTGTTATTTTGTTATTCATGTGGTACGAGTAACATCAAAAATTTGTAACATGTCTGTGAAAAATTTTATGTATACGTATCTACTACAATAAACTCAAATGTACGACATTTGAATGATTATATTTAACATGTTAACACTCCTTATATTCCAGCAGGCGTTCAGGAAAATTCGTTACACTATTATATAATTTCAATGTTAACCGAATATAACATTATTTTTTTTATTGTACTTTCATTTTTCTTTTTAAATTTGAAAACATTTTGTTTTTCTGGAACATAGGCACATGAGCACATCCAATATAAAAATATTGCGTATATACATACGTTCTAGGATGTAGGTTTATAAATGACCATTTAAGTTGTAATAGTGAAATTTTTTCTCTATATTGCAATAAAACGAAATTTAGATGGTATTTAAAGATTAAAAGATTTAGTCAGAACATTCATAATAATAAAATTGATATTGATAATAGTTTAGGTTAGTAATGATTATTTATATTGTATATAAAGAGTAGCTGTTATTTAATTAAAAATAAAAAAAAAATTCTGTTAAACTACCACAGAAGCACACAATAGATTATGTAGAAATTAATTTTAAAGTGGCAGATGTTAAGTTATGGAATAATAAGTGGAGGTAATTTAAAAATTAAAACACCTACGATATTTGGATTAAAGAAAAAAGTTTAATGTTTTTTCTTTGACTTTTTAAATTAGAATAAAAATATTAATAGCTTCTCGTTACATGCCAACAGTGACCCATTTTATAATATTTGCGTTACGTATAATAAATTCTTCATTAAATAAACATAACTGTATTTTAAAACATAAACTTTCTAAAGTTTAAATTTTCTATTTTAATGCAAATGAACAAATTTTTTAGAAAAAAAATCTCGTTTATCGTAATTTTAACATCGTAAAAATTTCTGAAATTTAAACTAAAAAGTGCCATCCGAAAAATATGCAATATTGTAAAGGGAAAATGTCCAAAAGATTTTTTAATTTACGATATTCGAAAATATGTTTTGAAGTTTCAATTTTCGCCTAAACATATGCAATTCAAAAATTAACTTTTATATTTTTACAAAAAAGAAAGGATACAAAAAAGGTAAAAATTTAAACTTTAGTTCAATGTTCTATTTGTTAATAATATTTTTCTCCTATTTTCTAATGCAAAAATATTTACAAAACTATAAAACAAATATGCTTGATTATGTCGCTTATCAAAACAGGAATTAAAACTCTAAATCAATAGACACACATTGCTTACTGTCTATCTTAGATTTAGGTGTTAATTTTATTGACAATGTAATTTAAAGTAAATAGATGTTTGGCATCTTGGATTGGTCGAAAATATGTGCTGGTTATATAGAATTTTTATATAAATGGAAATACAGACAATATTATAGACGTAAATACTATAAGCATCCTTTTTATTATTACTATATTTTCTATAAAATTGTAATTTTCTTGTTGGAAACATATGAAAACATATTTTAATAGCAACAGTTTTTTGAATCCATTTTCCTTGAACTTTGTTATAATAATATTTAAAATTTCCAGCATTTCATTTAATCTTCTAAAACTAATCGCCCTTATAAGTAAAATTAAATGTTGGTCGTTCATTTTTCGTCTCTAATATACAAAACTCAATTCTTTGTTCTTATTTAATACAGTTTTTGCCTCTTCCTCCTTATAGAATCCCAAATATGTTACCATTTATAAAAGTTATATGCAAGTTTTATTCGATTGAATAATAATCAAACGTTAATTCGATACTGAATCTGAAGAATAAGAAAGATGTTTCGTCTCTTTATAAAATTCGTTTGCATATTTAAGACACAACAATTTATGCAAACAACTGATACATTCACTTTTCTAAAGTTATTAAATACTTAAAAATTATGTACATAAAAATATATTTAAAAAATATACTAGGATTATAATATCGTGAGATTAATATGCTACAACTAAATAACTCGTAATTATTGGTTTAGAGATATTAAATTTTAAAGATTTAACAATACCAAATAATTTATCATGAAGATATCTAGTTTTGACATTCTCATTTTCAGATATTTAAGAATACTTTTAAGCTAAAATATTGATTGCAGATGAATGAGCATTCGATTCTATGACGCCTAGGTCAATTATCTAAAAATATAAAATTTTCGAGTTATCTAGTTGTAGCATTAACTTCACTATATTATAATCCTAGTATATTTTCTAATAACCTCACGATGTTATAATCCTAGGACCTAGTATATTTAACTGTATTAATTATATACAGTTCTATTATAATCCTAGTATAATGGAATTGTATTAATTATATAATTGGGGCTGTTCTAAGTTAAAAAAAGTATTTACATTTAATAAAAACACACAATACAAAATTTCTATAAAAAAATTTATATTAAAATAATTTATTAATTTATAATAACTTAAAAAACTATTTAAGGAATCGTATTTGCTATTAACATTACATATCTACATATGTATATATATATATATATAAACCAATTATATATATATACATATTATATAAGAAAAAAAAAATGTATGGCTTTCTTTTTACAGAGAAAAATAACGAAAACTGGAATTATTTTTAATTCGATTGATTCAATAAAAATGATGAGTGAGAAATGCATAAAATTAAAATTAAAAAAAAATAATTCTTGTACAAAAAGAAATTAATATTAAAGTGAAAATGAAATGAATCGCGTGTCCTTGAGTTTAACCTCTCTCTCTATACATAGTAATAATAATTATATAACTTAGTTATTTTATAGTAGTGATTTTGTGATACTAAATTCTATTCTTTTATTTTTGCTAAATATTTTTGTGATTTTTTGAATTGTTTTTTTTTTTTGTTCTTTTTTTAATAAATGCAATAATTAATTATTATTATATAAATATTATTTAATAATAATTTAAAATTAAAGAGGGCAATAATTAGAAATTAGTTTAATTTTGTTTCTAAAGTTCATATACTTTAGTAAGTTTTAAATATCCTAGAAGAATTTGAATTTCTATTTTTAAAGATATTCAAAAAAAATTTCATATAAACAAAATAAATTTTTTCTAACTAATTAATTGAGCATTCCGCCTTAAACGTTTCGTTGCTGCAATATCACCTGATAATCTACCAATACTACCTAATGGGACATGATATGATGAAACTCCTGAATAAAGTGATTTTCCAGTTTTACCATCATCATCTGATAAATCGAGACGACGTTGTGCTATTGGTATTTCATTAAATATGGCTAATGGATATTGTGAATATCCTTTAACATTATTATTATTATTATTTAATTGATGATGATGATGATGATGATGATGATGTTGTTGGCCATTTCCTTGAACGAACGGTTCATATATTTGTTGAGTCTTTGGTTGTGGTGATGAACCTAAAAAATACAAAAAAAAAAGAAAAAATTATATTTGAATTCAGTAAACAAGTTAAAAAGGGGGAAAATTTATACGATACAAGCATATAAGCATTTGATAAGTGTTATACTCACTTAACAAAATTGGTTGTGGTGGAAGACTTCCAAATTGATTAAAACTAAATGATGATGTTGTGGGATTCGTTGGTGGTATATTATGATATTGATGAACAAAATGCTGTTGATTTTGTTGTTGTTGTTGTTGTTGTTGCTGCTGTTGCTCATGTTGTTGAATGTTATTTATAAAACCTGCAAGCTCTTGTTGGCGAATTGTTTGTTGATTAGATTGTTGTGATAATTTTTTTATATTTTGTTGATTATCTTGTTGAATATTATTTAATAGAGCTGAAGTTGAAGATGATGATCCACTAGATGATGATGATGATGACGGTGATGTAAATAATCCTCTATTATTTAAATTTAATTGTGATTGTTGTTGCTGTTGTCGAATCTGTGAACCCTGCTGAAGATTATTATTTAAAAAATTTGTTGTTTGTTGTAAATTATTTATTTGACTAGGCTGTGAAATGAATGTTGATGTTGAGGGTAATATACTAATTGATGGCTGTTGCTGTTGTTGATGTTGTTGCTTTAATTGTTGTTGATGTTGAAATATATTATGATTATTAATGATATTGTTGTTGTTGTTGTTGGGGTGGTGGTTGTTATGATTAATGTTATTATTACTATTTACAATGGAATTTACAATTGATGGTCTAAATGTCGGTAATATTGGTGATGATGTAAATGAAAAAATATTATGATTATTTTGTGATTGTGTTGATATTGTTGGATGAATTGTAATTTGTTGCAATGGATTTATTGTTGTTTGTCTAGATAATTGGCCATTTCCAATAAATTCTGGTGATGATAGAGTTTTACTAAGTGTTTGTGTTATATATTGTTCTAGAGGGACATATCCAGTTTGATGACTAGCTGAAACTGGTTGTGGTCTTAGTCCAGTATTTGGATCAAAAGAAAATGAAGCTTCTTCATTTGATTTCGATATTTTTATATTAGTTCCGGGAATTTGTGTATATAGGGCTTTGGGTGATAAATGTGATTGTGTTTGGTATGTTTTTTGTAATCCTAAAATAGAAATCAATAGGGGAAAAAGGATAATAAATAAATTCTTTTGAAGGAAATCCGAATAAATTAAATACAATAAAAGAATTTACGTAAACGTCAAAAAATTATGGCAATTCAATTAACTCACCTCTTAGAGTATCATTTATATTAAAGCGAGATTGTTCTTGTTCTTGTAAATTGTGGAAACGATTTTTGAAATTCTGTAAATTTGTGGATTCTGTATTACCATGTATAGCTTTAGATAAAATGTCAAATGGTATTAGATTTGTGATAGATAGATTATTGTTAGAATTAGAAGAAATAGAAGAAAAAGTAGAATTTGAAGAATTGACAGATGAAACAGTAGTTGTTGTTATAGTTCCAATAGTTGTAGTAACATTAGCAGGTGCTGATGTTGTTGTTGTTACTGCATTACGATTACGTAACAAATTTGACGAACGATAACGATTATTTCTAGTATATTTTGTAGCTGTTTCATTTTGTATTCTTAATCTACTTAATGTTGTTGTTGGACGATATGCTCTATAAGAATTAGCGATTGCTTGTAAATCATCTGTGTCGGTTTCATTGTTTCCACTGGCAGTACTATCTATAGAAGCCGGTGTTGTCTCACTATTTGCTAAATCTTTTAAAGCCAAACGATTCAGAGGACGCCTTTTAATATTATTCGTTAACTTGTTTGGTTTTGCTGTTGTACTTGTTTTGGGATATTGACGTAAACTATAAGGTTTTTTAGAATAATTAATAGGCTTGACTGTTAAACGTCTTAAACTTATTCCTTTCAATTTTGATGCAGTAGTTGTTCGATTGGATAAACTTATTTGTGTGGGTCCTTCAGTTGTAATCAATGCTGTAGTTGTTGTTTCAAAATCTGGATTAGTTGTTGATAGAACTGGCACAATATCCGTCGTATTGAATGTATCACTTTCAGTTGTCGAATCTGAACTTAAATTGAAATCATTTGAAACAGTTGTTTGTTCAGTAATAAGATTTGTTATTGGTGATATTGTTGTTTCAGATGGGAATATTCCTACTGTTGATTGATCATTATTCTGTTGCTCTGCATCAAAAGTGTCAATTGTAGTATTTTCAAAACGTTCGCTGGATTTTATTTCGTTTTCAATTCCAGTTCGTAAAAAATTTCGTATGTTTCCAACCAATAACTTTTCGATATTTGTAACATCGCTATCTTTCCGTTCCTCCTCATCAACATGAATTACTAATGGATCCAGAACCGGTGCTTTATTAGGTTGATTCGAATCATCAATAGCATTTCCATTGTATTCATTCTCGAAAAATGCTTGTTGTACACCTTGAACAAGTAAAGCTTCTGCGCGACGTTTTACTGTTACATCTTCATTAGATGATTTTGTTTCTTCGGCTGCATTAATATCACCAACCATTAAAAATAAATCTGGAACATTTGAAGCTGGTTGTTGTACACGAGATGAAAATCTGGCAGGTGGTAAATAATATGGACTTGGCTTTCTTGGTACAAGTGATTCGTTTTGTGATATTGATTGTGTTTTTGATATGTCATTTGTAACTTGGTCATTTTTCTCTTCCGAAACAATCAAATTCTTTAATATTAACGAGTTAGGCGAATAGTTAACGAAAAAAAGTTATAAAAAGAAGGTGGTTAGGAAAAGAGTTTGTTATAGAGATTGAAAAATATACAAGAGTCTTTAGACTTAAGTAAAATAGGATTGAAAGTAAATTAGGAAATTATAAAAGGAAGCGTTTTTTCAAAGAACAGTCGAATTATAAAGGAAACGTGTAAATGAAATGTGTCTCAATGATTTTGAATTGATGGATTTAAATTAAGGAGCAATGAATTGATTTTCATAAATATTTCTATATTTGATTTTAAGAAACTTACTTGAACTGGTAAAGATGCTGCTAGACTTACTCTACCTGGACCTTTTACAACTTGTCGATTTGGTATATTTTGATGTTTAGGTTGCCTTGACGATGAAAACTGTTGTGCTTCATTTTGTTGTGTAGAGCCATGTAATGGTACAACTCCAGGTCCTTTTATACTTACCCTACTACGAACTTCTTCTACTTTATTATTAGAATTTGAATTGAATTGAGAAATGAATGGTTGAACATGAGCTGGTGGTAAATATTTACTATCTTTATCACCATTTCCATTAAATGGTGCTAAAGTAACTGGTGTTTGACCAGGTTTAGTAAACCCTGACCCGAAAAATTGAAATTGTCTTCCAGAACGGTATTCATCAACTACTGGTTTTTTTGTTGACGAGTCTGTAGACTTTGTGCCCTGGAAAGCTTGTCCAACATTAAGATTGGTAGCAATTGTGTGTGTATTTGTTGTAGCCGCTCCAGATTTAGGAGCAATATTATTAATTGAACTTGAAATTGAGCTTTCTTTTGGTGGTCTCGGTGTTACAACTACTTGTGATGATTTATGCGATTCATGTATTGGTTCACTCAAATTATCTTCACCGTTAAATACTTTAGGTCCACGATTCTGTTTACGCTGATTGTTATTATTATTATTATTATTATTACTATTACTATTATCGCCATGGTAACTTACAGTCTTATCTAAATGGTATTCTTTATGAATATGAGTATGAGTAGAACCAGAGTGATCATTACTTAAAAAGCCACCATTAACATTATCAGCTAAATTTAAAAATTTATCATGATCATCTTCAGGCTGTTGTTTTTTCGATTCATTTTGCTTTCGATTTGTTTTCTTATCAATAAAATTTCGTACAAATTCTGGTATATTTGAAGTATTTCCATTGGCAGATAACTCTAACGAATCGGAATTTTCAAAACCATTCAAACCAGCATTAATACGTTCAGCAAAACTTAATTTTGTTTTTGAAGCTACAGCACTGTGATTATCTCCATTGTCATCGACTCCTCCACTAATGGAAGCTTTAATTTTACCAGAAACTCTTACACGTTTACTATCTGTACCTGGTAAGCCTTGCTTTAATTTTTCGCGACGTTCTACTTCAACGTGATTTTTGCCTGATGCTGAATCTCCTAAAACATCATCTAATGATTTCTTTTGATCACGATTTCTAACTTTTCCTCTTCGGCTAGACTGATCTGGTTCAATAACATATGATGTTCTTGGATCAAAATTAACACCAGGATCAGTTGATAATTCACCTAAACTATTAACGTATACACGTGGTGGTATAAATTTATCTGATTCATCTGTTTCAATTCGATCTCTACCAGAATTTGAAGATGAACCTTTTAATTTATTTCTTGATTCAGAATTATTCTGTCTTCCATTTTGATTATTACGTCCTCCATTTCCATGATGTCCATTATTACGATGATGTTGATTTTGATTATGATGTTGTTGTTTCTTAGATGATTTTACTTGAATTTCTTCATTGCTCTCATTTTCCACATTAATTGTAAAATCTTTATTTGAATTTGTAACTCTATTTTTATCTTTACCAGATGCACCTTGATTTCGATTATCATGAACGTCATGATGTTGATTAATTGAAGATTTTGTAGGTTTTACACTTGGAGCAGAACCTTTTGGTGTTTTCTGAATAGTTTTCGTTATTGTTTTCATTGGAAATTCAACCATTTCTTTGACTGCTTTCATTAATTCATCTTTATCATCGGGTGTACCAATACCTTCATTTTTGAAATAAAAATTTTCACTTTCAGTACAATCAACATTTCGATACCAATCACAAACAAAATCTCTCTGACTAAAAAGTGTTCCATTGGGGCAGAGAAACGCGAAACCTAAAAAAGAAAATGAATAAATTCAAAAAGTTTTTATATCTAAATTGAGTTGAATTAGAATCATTAAAAAACGATCTATTAATACCTTCTCCTGATAGATCTGTATTTGTACAAATTCGAAAAACTTGACATCTTGTTTCAACATCAGCATAATAACCTTTATTAAAATTCAGAAAAAAAAAAGTCATCTAAGTAAAAATTACTTAAAACAATGAAAACAAAATAAAAAAAAAAATACCTTCATGTCGATTATCACATGAAAAGCTAGTTTTTGGTGCTACACTGTAAATTGGATAATCGATTTCCGGTTCACCAGGTATACTATGTCGTAAATCCCATTGCCCATCTGCATCACCGAAGCTATTGATATTTTTTTATAACAAAAAAAAGAAAATAATCAAAAATAGAAAATAAAAAATGCGATTAAGACTTTACGATATCTGATGCTTTTTTAACTGTTTAAATTCCAAAAACAAAAAACAAAAAATTTTTTTTTACCTCGAAGTTGCAAAATCACTGCCACGATCCGCATCTTCAAAATTTCCATTTTCAGCTGATTGTACATGCCAAGATGTAAATGAAATCGATAGTAAAAGGCAAACTAAAAATAAAAGAAGAAATAAAAAAAATTAAATTTTAAGAGCAATAAAAAAAATTAAACATAAGAAAAAAAAAAAACTAAAAAGGCAGGTGATAAAAACTGTTGTCACAGTCAAGATTTTGTAGATCTTTTTTTTTCTCTTTTTCCTTTCGCGTGCTTACAAGTAATTTTTTTAATAATCGTTTATATTTTATTATTTAATTTCTAAATGATACGATTCTGATACAAATTTAATTCTGCAATTAAAATTCGAATAATTCTCAATTAAGTCACTTAATAAATTGAAATATAGCCATTTTGATGGAAGAAATTACTTTAGAATACAAGAACCACACATTAATTGAAAAATTCGGCTCATCTGTTTAAATAATTTGAATTTAGCCCTAATGTTAGTGGGAATAAGAGAGGAAGCTCGAAACCTGAAATTTAAAAAAATTGTTCTTTACATAAGGCAGCAAAAATTTAAAAAGCCTGGAGGAGGACGAAACTATGGAGCAGTTACTGTGTGAATGCGAAGCGGTTGCTCGCCTGTGACTGAGATGCTTCGGGGGGGTGGCTTTGGGACCCTGGAGAGGATCTCGCAGCTTGATGTGGCTGCCATACTGCGGTTTGTCAGGGTCCTAGATATAGAGCTAATGTAGGGGAGTTGGGAATCACAAAAGATCCTATGGGTCGACGTGAGGGGGCCTAAAGGCCTCGGCTCCCGTGGGGAAAAAAAACAGGCAGCAAAAAATTAAAATTTATTGAAACCATAACAATTTTGATTGATTATTTTATTGATAATAAAATTTTAATGGTTCCTGTAATGTATCCTGTATAGATAATGGTAGCGTTTTGGTTTCCTTAATTATTTTTGGGTAGTCAGTGACATTATGCAATAAAATGTGTTTCTAGATTTTACTAAATTATTTACTCAATTATAGTTTTAAAGTGACTACGAACTTTAAAGCAAATCACTACATTTTCTGTACTAGCTTTTAATTTTCAGAATATCATAAAATTTTTTAGAGAATTTCTGTACCTAATTTTAAATTACAAGACTCTTCGTGCGCCGCTTTAGTAACTTTTATTATAATTTATTTTTACATATACAATGTAGGTTTATTGTGTATATTTTAAATGTTGTTAATTGAATTTTCAAAATACTCTCAGAAAACTCATGAAACTCTTTTTTGTGTTAAAAAAATTATTGTAATTGTCTGAAATCGGTTGGTCCTTTACCATATGAAGCAAAAATATTTAGCACAGGTTTATAATTCTGTTAAGAATTTTAATTTTTTACAAAGAAAAAATTTGAGAGTATTTTAAAGAAATGTATCGAGAATTAATGCTTTATTTACTGACAATTATAAACTGCGATTGAACAGTGACTATTATAAACTAAATATGTGATTTGGATGAAAATTTCTTGATCATTTATACGATGTTTCGTATAAAATAGAAAATAATATGGAAGGGATCATTCTTTGATCAACTTTTCAACACAAAATTGATTAGATATGCAGGGTTAGGGGCAGATATTCTCGTTTCTGAGTTATAGCTTATTGAAAAAATTTTACCACATTTTCCTACATGCAAATAAATACTTATAACTTCGGAATCATCGCGAGGGGAAGGGGTCGAGTAATCATCTTACAGGTAATTGATTTCTCCTTATATTCGGTCCAATTAGATTTGAGTCATCAATTAATTATAATCAATTAGATTTCGAGATAAAAAGCTCGTCAAAATCAGAATTTTTTGTTTTTTTTTTTTGAAAAAAATCGAGATTTCTCGAAAATTTGTGTTATTTTTTTTTTTTGCTTTTTACGATGCGCTACAATGAGAGCTAAAAGTTAACCCATATAAGATTTTCTTCTGGATATCTCCCATAGCTTTGTGTTAAATGAGTTTAAAAACATGCGAATAATTTATTTTATTTTATCATCAATATAATTTCATTTAATATAATTTAAATTTTTTGAGAAAAACTATAAAATACAAAAACCAAAATGGCAAACAATGAATGGCATAATTTTGAATTTCATTTTCTAAATTTCCACTTTTTATGTTGCATTTAACCATATTTTGTTTAATTATATTACGCTACAGAAAATTTGTTCTTCCATAACACCCCATATTTCAATAATCTATCTATGTACACAATATATATTAGAGGAACAATATTTAAGCAATTCGAATATGCAAAATAAAATTATTAATAATTTTCAATTTCAAAATTATTTAATAATATACATACAAAATTTTGAGGTCATCAAAATATGAAATACAAATAATTTATACCAGAAATGTCCCCATGGGAATTACCAAACAAAAAATAAAGTTCATTGTAATGTTTGTCTACAAATCACCCACACTAAATTATAAGAGCATGTTTGTTAGTATAACTGTTTTACATATAAGTATAAAAGTTAACATATGACCAGCATTCTCGTATACATGATTAAAAATTTAATATATTTGATAATAAAAAGGCAATTTATTATTAAACTAATAGAAATTTACAAAAATATTTCAACAATAGTAGTAGGTTTATGTAATTTAATCTATATTAGAAAATTAAAAAAAATTGTGTTATACATTTTTTTCCATAAAGAAAAAATATTGGCAATTAAAATTACATAATTAAGAAATACATAATATAATATTAAGTACCTATATAAATCTATATAACATTTGTAGGTGGTTTCACCATATTTTTCTGATTTTATTGTGAAAATAAATAATTAAATTAAATACACTTTTAAAAGCCTTAAGATTTATGAGTTTAAAATATTTTGTATTGCTTTATAAGGAATTTCATAAATTTTATAGTTTTAAAATTTTATTTTAAAAAAATACAGAGCCTGATTCATTTTTAATTTGTTATCAATAATTTTGGTATTGTAGACTGATATAGACATGTTTTCTAAAACAATGAACCCAGGAAATTTTTAGTATACTTCGATATAAAGTAGATTAAGATTTGTTAAAATTTAGGGTATTGTTAACGAAAATATTTTAAGAATAGATTGAAATTTTGGAAATTTTATAATTAAACGAGAAAAAAAATAGACTTGACCTTGTCAACTCTGTGATACCCGTACGAATTTGTGCGAATAACTAATGTGCCATAACTAACTATGGGGCAGACTATGACTTTAAGTTGCCGTATTACCATATTAATTTATGCAAAATTTCAGTACTATGTGTTATTCAAAATACTGGTTGTGCCAAACTACTAATGATGTTGTATGGCAGCTACCAGAAAGAGCCAAGAAATTTTAGCGAATTTTATCAAGCACATCGGCCCTACTAATATACTCACTTGTGTGAAATCTCAATATCACAGCTTTTATAGTTTCTGAGATATAGGCAAATAACTTTTGAAGTTGTATGGCAGGTACCAGAAGGAGCCAAGTAATTTCAACGACTTTTATGAGACACATTGGCCCTACTAATATATTCGTTTGTGTGAAATTTCAATACTATAGCTTTAATAGTTTCTGAAATATAGTCAAATAACTTTTGAAGTTGTATGGCAGGTACCAGAAGGAGCCAAGTAATTTCAACGACTTTTATGTGGCATATTGGCCCTACTAATATATTCACATGTGTGAAATCTCAATATTACAGCTTTTATAGTTTCTGAGATATAGCCAAATAACTTTTGAAGTTGTATGGCAGGTACCAGAAGGAGCCAAGTAATTTCAACGACTTTTATGGGGCATACTGGCCCTACTAATATATTCGTTTGTGTGAAATTTCAATACCATAACTTTTATAGTTTCTGAGATATAGCCAAATAAATTTTGAAGTTGTATGGCAGCTACCCGAACCGGTAACCCGATCATGTCCAATTTAAATAGGGTTCTGGCACTTACTACAATAAATCATTTGTGAAAATTTGGTGAGCTTAGCTCAATTAGTTTTTGAGTTATCGTTCGGACGGACGGACGGACGGACGGACGGACGGACGGACGGACAGACAAAGCTAAATCAACTCAGAATTTGACGCTGATCAAAAACATACACTTGAGTCTATATCTAACACCGTTATTTCTTAGCGTTACAAACGGTAAGGCAAATTTAGTATACCCTTCGAACATACGTTCGTACGGGTATAAAAATGCCAATAATATTCATTAATTTATAATTGGAATTCTGACCATTATAGAAAAATAGAATCATATATTTTATTTTTTACAAATTTGAAATTAATTTTACATTTTTTTAAATATTTTGTCAATAATAATCCATTAGAAAAAGTAAATTATTTACAGTTTTGTTCTTAAAACGTAAGTGTTCTTAAAATTACAATTATATAAACATATGTATATTTCAAACAGCGTTTCTGTTATACTCCCCTCATGCAAATGCTGCCAAATAGATTGGCCCAAATATTCTCTTTTTTTTTGTAAAAAAAATCTACGTTTTAAAGAGTCGATAAACAAAATCTTCATTAATTTTCGGGATCTTCAATCGGGAAGTTCAATTGAAAAAAGTAAGAAGTCAAAATATCACAATGTCAGCTCGAACCAAATCCGATCCCAAAAAGAAAAACTATTGATAAACACAATAACACATGTTGTCATTAGCCGTATGCGTATTTAGGTAGTGGGCCGAGTCGATTAATATAAAATTAATTGCAGCGAAGAATATCAAAAATTTTTATGTCATGGAAGTAGCACCAAATTGACTTTTTGGTTAAAATTGTTTTTTGGTAAACTTTGGAAAACTTCTCTTGTAATGTTATTATTTTTGCTTTTCAAATCAAACAGTGCTGTTACAGTAAGAATAGAATGGTTGTTCCGAAATTTGTACCAGTTTACTTACTATCCAGAATAGCGTTCTCTATTTGTCGTATTATTTGGAATATAATTACGAGAGTAGACGTTATTCTCATAAAATTTTATTTAATTGATATAATAATATTGATCTTAACCCTAATCTTAATGGAAATTATAAGTTTAATTTTTCTTGGTTTTTAAAACTGCACTGAATATCATGACATGCAAAAT